GTCGTGTTGGTCTCTGAAGAAACTCTTTTATCTTTAGTCACGTATGTATACTTATTTATAGAACTTATAAAAGCTCAATGAAAAACAAAAACTATGCGCTTAACCTAAGTTTAATTATGAAAATGATCTAAACTAAAAAGTTCAAATAGAAAAAAGTCGACTCCTATTTAATTAAATTATCTGTGAAATTATGTTTTAACAGATCAGTCCTACTACAAAGTAGATGTATTTTCAATTTTAAAAAAGTAGCATCTAAATTAGAATTTATTTAATTACTTAAATATCTATTTAGATACACAAAACTATTGTTATATAAAACTATTTGTACAAGTGAGATCTTAAAAATATGATCTTATAGTCAGATAAATATTAACATTACAGTAAGATATTGTTATGATGTCGTATTATATTTCTACCTGAGTACTTATATATTCGCACATACATCTTCTTTTCTAGAAGTTTCTGTGCTTTGCTTTTCTCGTCATTTTCTTTTCCTACTTTCATAAAGTTAATGTCTATTTCAAAAAAGAAAAAGTGTGAGTATTTTTTTGACTAAATTTTAGTAGAAACTAGGTAGGAAAATTCGGTTTTCACCATTTAAAAGAGAAGATGAAACTGCATCGAATACAGTACACTCCTGAAAATTGAGATCGTAAAACTTTTCCATTAGACAATGTTTTGTGTTTAACAAACTTGATGGTAGACTCTAAGAAAATTTGTTCAAGGAAAATTGGTATAGATAATTCGACGCAGTTTCATCTCCTCTTTTAAACAATGAAAACTGCACCTCTCTGCCTAGTTTCTATCAAAAGTTATTCAAAAAATATTCATACTTTTTCTTTTTTTGAAATAGATATTAGTATTATTGAATAAAATCGAACTTATTACATTTACAAAAGTAATAAAACTTACATTAATGACAAGATTGTTTTTTTCTCTTCAACTTCGTTTATTCATTACATTGCTAATCTTTACAGTCCACTATTTATGACTAAATCTAGGTCAATGACATGCACTCAAATAAAATATGTCACATATGTCGTACTTCGCGACACAATATATGATATATTCTGTCCAGCAACAACGCGACCCATTTTGATAACATGGGTCGAGCCCAGTCTTCAACGCATTTTTTTTTCTTTTTCCTACAGAAGCAAATAATTACTATTTTTTTTTAGGTTAATTCTAATTCGTAATACCTATTCTTGAAGGTAAAATGATCAAATTTTGACATCTAATCATCTTGATTTCGTTTGATCTCGATCATGTAGAAAAAAAATGACATAAGAAAATATTCAAATTCAGTATGTTCAACTAAATCGTTTATATGTAGCTGTATTCGATAAATAAAATGATGCATGAATAGTTAGAAGACAGATTAGGATACATATTTTTATTTTTTAGTGTGTGCATACTTCAACCATCAACTAATATATTCAATTCTTGCGCTACTACTTCGCAATCATTTTATGATTATATCAGCTTCTTCTTCAAAGCAAGTCATATCAACATTAGATAATGAAAATAAAGTAATTTTTTTATCAGTTGATGATGTAACATACAATATTCTTCAATCATTTGCTTTCACTACAATCGTTAACTAGTGATAATACAAAAAAACATTACGACATCCACATATGAATTTTATTCCTACTATCATAAACTAGAACAAATAGTCGAAATTCTGTAAATTATTGAAGCATAATTCTAGTAGAAATTTTTCATAGTAAATTAGTACAGGTTGACTTTTCTATAGAGTATCGAAATGGCCTAAGAGTTTTTGATTTTCAAATGTACATCAAAAAAAAAAGGACAAATTTTTATGAGTGCTTCATATACTGGGCACTTTTGTCGATATTGACATGGAGACTCTCTTAAAAAACTAAGTCGAATAATCCTTGATTGCGTCTCAGACAATATTTAGCCTTGATCGAAGGACATTAAATTTTTCATTCGTAAATCATGGAATACAAAATTTATTGTATTAACTCTCGTTTCAATAAATAGTAATTCGAGGCATATGAGTAGCATACGAAAAAAGAAATAGTAAGATATTGTTCTTTGCATTTTTATCTTATATACTGGTAATGACGTATTTACTATAAATGTCCGTACTTATCGAGCATATTTGTATGGAAGATTGTAAAATACATTTTAAGACAAAAATAAATGACCAGATAAATAAGCGAGAAAAGATTAAATTATATTTATATAATATTCACAAGGTTATTTGTTTTTTTTTCTTTTGTATTATTATATTCATAGAATCTTTTATCACTCTGCCTCTTCTTTTTTTCGTCGTCTTCTTATCAAACTATCTTTTTTCATGTTATACGTCTCCTCGTTTACATCTTAATGAAGTAAGTTTTTACTTTCTACAATTTGTTTTTTTCGTAGTCTCTATTATATTAGTTTTTGTTTTTATTGATTGTTTATCGTTAATCAATAAAAAGAAACACTTTTATTTTATGTCGAGGCTCGAAAATTCTGTAGTCAACTAACTTAACAAGCTGTCTATTTTCTTTTCTTTCTCTTTCGCATTGAAACACAAACGTCATTACAAATAAGAACAAATAATAAGTGGAAAAACTACTTCCATTCTTCATCTATGTTTTTGCCCACGTATTGCTAATAGAGATCGCCCCCATTGTTTTCCGATGAAGCAAGGCTATAGCTTGCTTTTTCCTGCTCCTTTTTTTTCCTTTCTCTCATCATATTTTAACGATATATTCTCGACGGGCAGCTGTCGCGTGTGGTTTTTTCGGAATAGAAAGAAAAAAAAAGAAAGAAAAGGGCCAGAACACGCACTGTCGGCGTGATATTATTACTTGATTTGCCTATCGACACAAGCAGTAGTAGCAGCAAATAATAACAACGATATTGCTGTTTCTTTTTATCTGCATCGTTGTTCTTTTTTTTACTATTAAGTGAGTTGAGTGATTTCGAGTCTTTTTTTCTTCTTCTTCTTCTTCTTCTTCTTCTTTTTTTTCGTTTCTGCTTTTTTCATTTTCGGTAGACGAAAGAGCAAAGGTAGTAATAGTGGTGTGGATGTCGATGATGCTTTCATCTTGAAATAAATGAATGATTGAATGTAACTCACACAAAACATGTAAAGAAAAGAAAGACATGCCAATGTACTTCTCAAAAATGAAACAAAAATGCATACATTATTATAGACTGTAACAGTAAGTTTTTGATTGTCAAAATAATATACATATATGTATATTCATGTACTAGTAAATTGATAATAGGTGAATGTAAATGTATTCGTGACAAATTTATAGACTATGATTCGTTTTTGTTTTTCTTCTTTTCTGTATATCCTTTTTTTTTGTTTTTTTACGTTTCATTTTTCATTGTGAATAATAATTCATATATATCTTATGACAACAAGGTTTTGCATCATTGTATATAGTTGACAATGAAATCATCAAATGAAAATGATGAATGATTAGATGTAAGCGAAATAAGAGTACATAGCAAATGGAGACTTGCGCCATATTCATCCTGTTGATGACACATATGAGCGAGTATTTGATGAAGATATAATGCTTGCGATATAAATCGAAAGAATAGAGGTCGATGTCTCCGATCATTTTTTTTTTCTGCTTCCTTGTTAATATTAACAGTTGACACCGGCATCAATAGAGACATGTACTTTAATAAATAGTAAAAAAAAAAAGAAAAAAAGCAAAAGAAAAATCCTTTTTTTTTTCTTTGCTTATCGATTCACGAATTATATGTGAATCAAATGTAAGCTTTAGTTTTCTTTCTTATGCATTTGATTAAAAGAAAACGACAAATATTCGATGAGAAAAGTTTAACTATAATGCAAAAAAACAATGACGACAATAGGAAGAATATGTCATTGGTGCATATATCTGTTCTTATGACTGATGAATGATATCTTTCTTCTAGATATATATATATATATATTTTTGCTTCTGTTTGTTTCCATCTTGATCACGAGTAGTATGTTGACTGAAAATAATTTCCATCATCATAATGGTGGCTCTGTAGTTTCTCAACATCGTGTACATTATACTCCTTATCAACATCCATCATATTCAGGAAAATCATTACAACAACAAAATGACTTACAATTACCAAAATTTGATTTACATCATGCTGTTCGAACAAATGATGTTGCAGGTATAATACTTTTACATAGTCGTCTTCGACAACAACCAACTGTAGCTGATACGTGTTTACTTGATTCAAATGGACATACACCACTTTATACAGCTATTGCTAGTGGACGACTTGCTATGGTTGATTTACTTCTTCATCTTGGTCATAATCCTGTAAGTTTATTTTATAGTTCATTTTTTACTAAATATATTCTATTTAGTATTGCATATCAGTGGCTCGTGAATCAGCATTAAATGTTGCTATTGGTTATAGTCGTTTGGATATAATTGATTATTTATTATCACGTGGTTTTCCTGTTGATTATGCTGGATTTGAAAATAAGACACCATTAGAACGAGCTATTGAATGTAATCAAGGTTTAATTGTTGTTACTTTACTT